CCGCCCACGGGGTGGGGGGGGTTGTTGTTCCCCAAATCCACGAACAACAACCCCCCCCACCCCTCCCTATCGAAGCGGTCTCAATCTCTGACAAGGCTAAGCCCCCAAAACCCCCAAAGCCCTGCCATAAGCCGAAACCCTAAACCCCCAACCCTAAACCCTAAAGCCTCAACCCTTAACCCCCAACCCTAAACCCTAAGCCCGAAACCCCAAAGCCTAAACCCTAAAACCCCCAAGCCTAAAGCCTAAACGCTACACCCCAAAGCCTAAAGCCCAAAGCTTAAATCCTAAAGCTTAAATAGCCCCGAAGCCTTAAGTTTAAGCCTAAGCCCTACACCCCAAACCCTAAAGCCCAAACCGGAAACCCCAAAGCCCCGCGAAGTCGTCAAGGCGACCCGCCTCCGGGGAGAAGCAGGAGGTGGCCGCTGGGCCTACCCGGTGCCCTGGGCCACAGGGACTTTCGGTGCGTGTGTGTGTGGGGGTTTTGAGGGGATTTTGGGGGGGGTTCTAGAGTTTAGGGGGATTTGGGGGTTCTAGAGTTTTGGGTAAGGGGTTTAGGATTTAAGGGCTCAGGGCTCTAATCTGGGGTTTTAACGTTTGTGGTTTTAGAGCTCTGGTGCCTTTTTCAGGTTTGGCGACGAGGGCTTTTGATTAGCTGGGTTCCCGGGGAACAGGTCAGGCCATCTCTGGCGGCTGCCGGTAGAATCTCAGCCCTAAACGCCGCAGGATGCAAAAGGGTTCGGTGAAACAAACCAAGCCCGAGTATTGACCAAAGAAGCCTGGTATCTGCGGTTGTTCAGAGGGTTTGGGCACGAACATGTAGAGATCTAAATGGATGGTTGTCAAAATTATGGTCCCTTTTTGGGTCCTTCTTATAATACGGCACCTATTATTTAGGGCACCCCAAAAGGGACCCTAATTTTGACAACTACCAAAATGGACAAATGCTCAGCAGCTCACATGAACAGAATCCTCGTCGCGTGGTGAAAGAGTCAACTCCGGCGCGCGAAGGCTGCAGACCCTTGCTCGAATTTGTTGTTTTTAGGGACGGTTTAGAGTTTAGGGTTTAGGGTTTAGGGTTTAGTGGGAGCCAGGATTAGGGGGACCCTTGGGGATATAGACCCTCTCAATAAGGTCCCTTTTAAGAGGGCCAAAAGTAGGGTTCAGAAGGGGTACCCTTTAAGGGGTACCCCTAATCATACTACCTATAGGGGGGCGAAGCCTCCCGGCCTACCGCCTCAAGCACGGAACCCTAAAGTTACCCGCTTAGAGATTCCCAAGATGCATGCTTGGCTCTGTTGCTTGGGTGGCTCAGGTGCAGCTCTTTGCCGGAGGGGAGTGCTGCGCTGAGCTTGAATGTTGTGAGAATAGTCACAGTCGGAGTCTGCAGGAATTGTAGGGTCTTGAAGCTTTGAGACTGTGGGTCCTGTTCTAAGTTGGGCCTCCGCTGTAGGTACATGCTGCAACAATAATTCGGCATACTTAGGAACCCAAAACGGGATCACAGAGTTCACAGCCGTCAAGATTCTACAGAGCCGTAAGCCCTGACTAGGGTATTAGGTCGGATACTTTGGGGGATAGCTGTTCCAGGTTCCCAGAGATCCCAACACTACTCCCCCATCAACCGAACCATAAGGACCTCTCTAAAGTCTAAAGTTCGAAAGATATTGTCCACTGGAGTAGCATGGCCTCCTGGGTATTCGACGCGTCTGTGGCGTGTTGAGGTTGCCGGAGTTGTTGTGTGGTGTCGGAGGTCGCTGTGTTCCGTAGATCTCGTTGTCTTGGACTCTCTTGGTTTTTAGATGTGAGACTTCGAGGCATCGTGGTTGCAGAATATAGGGGCCTTAATAGTTACCGATACTATTTTGGGGGGTTCCTTATTATAATTATAGTATAATGGGCCCCAAAACCCTATTCTGATTATTCAGGCCCCTGCATTATGTTAAAATCAACCCGAAGGTCTTCGGAAAACCTTGAAGCCCTGCTGACCGAAAACCGTGCGAGTTCCTTTAGGGTTTAGGGTTTAGGGTTTAGGGGTTTCATCCCTCACATCGCAACTTCAAACGCCTAGCCTAAGGCCCTCAAGCCAGGGACGGGACCCTGGGCTTTAAACTCATCTTGTGAAAGATTTAGTTCTCCAATTCCCAACCTTAAAACTTTTTGGGTTCTTATAGTTTAGTAGCGATCTGAAAGTTTAACCTTCTATTTCCCTGGCTTGTTGGGGGAAGTAAGAAGACGAGTCCTGTCACTACGAGCAGCTTCTGAGGAATGCATTCCCTGCCAGCATTGAAGAGGAGGCCGAGGGGTTGTTGTGTTGAACTCTAGGATTCCGGTCAAGGGCAGCTGCGCGGGAAGGATTCTCAGGGTTTAGGTTTAGGGTTTAGGGCTTAGGGTTTAGGTTTAGGGTTTAGGGTTTAGGGTTTAGGGTAGGGATTCCTGATTTTCGGGTATTGGGGCATGAGGCGTGAAGAGTTTTGGGCGTCGGCTTTGAATCGCCGTCCCTTCTAGAATCTACTCTTCAGTAGCAGGGCCTAGTTTAGCCGAAAACGCAGGCTCCCCCAAGCGAAGACGCGGTATTTCCTCATGTTTTCTGTCTTGATCTTGAGCTCAAACCCTAAACCCTAAACCCTAAACCGTAGGTTTGCCTCGAGGCTTTGAGTCGAGGCTTCAGGCTTACACGACCTGGACCCCGAACCTTATAGTCCCTGAACCTTTGGGCGATAACAAATCGTAAAGCCTGAGATATCCCTAAACCCTAAACCCTAAACCCCAAGCCTCCGCAGTGTGCAGGTGTTGGTCCCTCCCTTCACGAGGTACTATTTCGAGCCGGAAACAGAGGCGGCCGGGAGTAGGTCTGGCAGGGCTTGTTGCAGGCTTACCGGTTTAGGGTTTAGGGTTTAGGGTTTAGGGTTTAGGGTTTTGTAATCAATACCGCTACAGGTTCTGAACGAGCGTGAAAAGCCGAAGAGTGATGTCAAGGCAACGTGCCATCTACCGCTGCTTGTCCAGGGAACTCTCCCACTCTGAGTTCAGGCTCCTATCGTTGAAGTCTTGCCAGGTTTGTTGTTACCGCTATTGTTTGCTGTGTTTGGGGTCGGTGGTTCTGCGTCGAAACCGATGGAAAGGCAGTCATTGCCGGTCGGGTCCAGTACCCGAATCTAGGAATATACACCTGAAAGTCTAGAAGGCGTAGTATTATGACTCAACGCATGCTCCTCAAGTTTCTAGATTTTTGGGCCGGGTATGTGCCTGCACAGGTGTCGAGTGCCCAGACGCCAGAGGAGCGCAGCCGGAGGCCTGCAATTTTGTGATTAAGGCTTACCAAGGGGTCTAGGGTTTAGGATTTAGAATTTTGGGTGTTGGGGTCATCGGGCGCGTAGGGTATAAACAGGTTTCAGCTTGAAGTCCGAAGTCTGCAGGAATTTTTGGTTTAGGGTTTAGGGGTGGGGCTTGGAGGGATCTGTTAGACGGGTGCACCAAGAATCGGACCGGAGGTGCAATTCGTAGGCCTCTGCCCAAGAGAAAAACCTTAAAATGGGAGATAAGATGAGCGAAAAACCATGAACAGGCCGTAGATTGTCTTGAAGGAGACGTCTGAATGGCACTCCACAAAGCCTGAGAGGGGGTTTGGGGATTGAGATTAGGCTTCAGGCTGCGTGCGCCCATGGAAGCAGAAGAAAGCCAAACCTTGCGATAGCTTTTTGTTTTGGCCGCTGCGCTCCTGCCTTGACGTAGCTCAGCTTTCTATCCTCGGAGACTTGGCGGAAGCATGTAATGAGCGGACCATGGGCCGCGCATTCCGACGAAGGCAGCTGCGCTACTTTGCCTTATGTTGCGTTTTTGGTAGTCTTTTCGGCGGAGCTTTGTCAGCATCCGCGCCGCCAGCCTGGTGGCGACAGGGTCGACCTCGGAGGATCTTGGGAAGCAAGGCGGAGGCAGAGCTCCTCTCGCAGCTGGCCGTGCTGCTGATGCCAGATCAGCCGATAGCTGAGGCTTTTCGTGATTTCCCATGTCAGAAAAGCACCGAGTGGGGCGCAAACAAGCTGTGTCCGGATTTGACAGCACACGGTGTGCTTGAGGCAGCGGATGCTGCACTGTTCATCGAGTATGATGGCTATTTTCGGCACATGAGCCCTTCCGGGCTGCGCACGGACATGCGCAAGACGCGTGCGCTGCTCCGGTTCGTTCCAAAAGGATCTGTGGTCGTCCGCATCGCACACCAGAAGCGAGAGTGGAAGGACAAGTCTTCGCAAATTGTAGTGGATTGCTGGCACCCCGAGCAACCACCTTCCCTGGTAAGGACCTTGAAGCAGGCTGCATCCTCCCTTCTGCGGTGTTGTTCGGGAAAGCTGCTTCCCAAGCCAGCTTCTCGTTTGGAGGGGTTTGCAGGAGAGCGGCTAGACAGGGATGCAAGAATCTTCGCCCAGGATGCAGAGTTGGTTGGCATGTCCAACCGCAGCAGCAACGCAAAGGTCCAGCAATATTTGCAGAGGGACTTACTTGTCACCAGCGAACAAGCTGAGAAGACAATCGCAAGATGTCCACAGATGTTCAGACGGCACTTGGATGACCATGTGAAGCCAACAGTTGAGTGGATCAAGGGGTTGGGCCTGAGCCAGTCGCAGGTTGCCAAGATAATGCAGAGATTTCCGCACGTGCTTGGCTATAGCATTGAGGCAAATCTGAAGCCAACAGTTGAGTGGATCAAGGGATTGGGCCTGAGCCAGCCGCAGGTTGCCAAGATGATCGCAACGTTTCCGCAAGTGCTTGGCTACAGCATTGAGACAAATCTGAAGCCAACAGTTGAGTGGATCAAGGGGTTGGGCCTGAGCCAGTCGCAGGTTGCCAGGGTGATCACAACTTTTCCGCCTGTGCTTGGCTTGAGCATTGAGACAAATCTGAAGCCAACAGTTGAGTGGATCAAGCGGTTGGGCCTGAGCCAGCCGCAGGTTGCCAAGATGATCGCGACGTACCCACGAGTCCTTGGCTACAGCATTGAGGCGAATCTGAAGCCAACAGTTGAGTGGATCAAGGGGTTGGGCCTGAGCCAGTCGCAGGTTGCCAAAGTGATTCTCGGACGTCCGCAAGTGCTTGGCTTGAGCATTGAATCAAATCTGAGGCCAACGGTTGAGTGGATCAAGGGGCTGGGCCTGAGCCGGTCGCAGGTTGCCAAGGTGATACAGAGGTTTCCGCCTGTGCTTGGCTATAGCATTGAGACAAACCTGAAGCCAACAGTTGAGTGGATGAGGGGGTTGGGCCTGAGCCAGTTGCAGGTTGCCAAGATGATCGCAACGTTTCCGGCTGTGCTTGGCTGCAGCATTGAAGCAAATCTGAAGCCAACGGTTGAGTGGATCAAGGGGTTGGGCCTGAGCCGGTCGCAGGTTGCCAAGATAATGCAGAGATATCCGCAAATGCTTAGCTTGAGCATTGAAGCAAATCTGAAGCCAACGGTTGAGTGGATCAAGGGGTTGGGCCTGAGCCGGTCGCAGGTTGCCAAGGTGATACAGACGTTTCCGCAAGTGCTTGGCTATAGCATTGAGGCAAATCTGAAGCCAACAGTTAAGTGGATCAAGGGGTTGGGTCTGAGCCAGTCGCAGGTTGCAAGGGTGGTCACAACGTTTCCGCCTGTGCTTGGCTATAGCATTGAGGCCAACCTCAAACTGAAACATTGCCTTTTGCAGAAGTACTTTGCTGGAGGGAAGGCCGAGGCTTTGCTGGCGCAAGCACCGCGTCTGTGGAGCTACAGGTTCACTCGACTTCAGCACCGTCTCGGTGTCCTGAAGTCTCAAGGTCAGCTTTCGAAGCTTGCAGGCGCCATGACCATGCCACTGGATGCCTTCAACCGCAGATTCCCCAATCCAGGCAGCCGCAAAGATCGGGCTTGCGATGAAAAGTAGCACATTCTTGACTGTCTGTGGAGCTGTTTTGCAGGCTGCTGTGAGAACCAGTCTTTTGGAATGAAGGCGGCGCCTTGCAAATATCGGAGTATGACATGAACTTCCCCGTAAACCCTAAACCCTCAACCCCCTTTCGCCGGAAAAACTTGAAAGCGCATAGCTCGAAGACTGGAGACTTGGGAACACTCAGAGTGGGAAAGGTGTCACGCTTGTATGGATGCTGGTGCGGTCGCCGTAAGGATTCCATGCAATCTAGCTGCACAGGATGGAGATTAAAGACAGAAGGGTCGTGATTTTATGATTCTGATGATAGCTATGCTGCATAATTTCGAAAAGGTGGGGGTTGACCACATTGGTGGTTCTCAGAATAAGCATCCTGGCTGCATCGAATCCCCCGACACATCCTCGCCGACCAACAAACTTGTTTCTACATCGCATGCATCTGCGGCCGGCCACAATATATAAATGCGCCCGAACAAGCCCTGACAGTTGACAGCTGCAGCATTTGCTGATTAATCGCAACTGTCATAGGCCTTCGAGAAAGGCGTCGAAAGCTTGGGGCTCATGGTCTAAAGCCGTGGGTCGACGTTGGAGGTATAAAATATAAGGGCCTTAATAATTGCCTATTATACTATTTGGGTTCCCTATTAGAATCACAGTATAATATACCCCAAAACCCTGCTAATTATTAAGGCCCCTACAGTAAGTTGCAGGCTGTCGGCCCTGGAATCACGTTGGTCAATGCGGCTGGAGGAGGAGTTTTTAATAATATCCACGGACAGATGGGGTTAAAGGTCGGACTAATGAAGAGACCCTTCATGGATTCAACGGGCTTCCCGGGCTTGCTGCAGTGGTTTCTTCCGTTTTGCAAGTGAGCGCAGGGATCTCTGAAAGACCCGAGCTCAACGTCCCGCGATACTAACTTTCGCATCATGTGAAAGCGTGAGAGTTCTAGGCCCTCGGTGCCGTGACTGAATCTTGCCGTCCAAGTAGCACGAGTTTCAATCTCGTCGGACCTCCAAACCGTACTTGGTGTTCTTGCATTCTTGAAAGGTTTTAAGATTCGCATGGCGTCAGCCGGGATGCAAGCTGTTTACTTCAGGTCAGGGCGTTGAAGCACGCAACAGATGCTGAGCATTTGGCATTGTCTTTCAGGCACACAAGTGACAAGGACGAAGGGTTAGTTAGCCATGGGGAGTTGTCTGACTTGGTCTTCACTGATCCAGCTTCCTCAGACATTGGCTCAGGCACATGATCGCAAGTCAGACTGAGACAGAATCGTCTATAGAGCACCCCCGTCAAAGGCTCGCAAGCGACCTGAATAGCCATGCACAGCTGCAACAACATGAAGCCCTAAACTTCCTAAACCTTGTAGGACACACGAGGATGATGTAGGCGTTGCTGGCACTTTAATTTCCCCGACAGTAATACAGAAGCCGAAATAATTACCAATATTATTCTTTAGGGTTCTTTACTATACTTATACTGTAAAGGTGCCCAAAGCCCTGTTCTGATTATTGAGGCGATTATTTAGGCCTTTCCATTAGCCATGACCGAGTCCTGGCGTGGCGTCGTGGCCGACGGACCAGTCCCGAGCGGCAAGCATGAGGGCGTTTGGCCCCTCGGCTTGCCAAAGGTAAACAGTTTGCGAAGCCTGCATGTGCCGCCGTTTTTTAGGCAAACTAGGTTACCCGAATCAGAATACAAAGTTTAGTTTATTAACATGCTTTCCTTATCCTAGGGACTTGTATGAAGAAGTTCCTTGACAAGAATCCCCTTCTACCGGGAGTAATGTGATACCTATCAATGAGTAGGATAATCTCTGGCTGATCATCTCTCATGGAATCCGGCGGCTCTCGATCAACTCTTGATCTTGGTTACTAGTCCTAATTACACCCTATGGTCATTCCCAACGACAAAACCGAATACAGAAACGACAACATCAAGGGCCCGATGCCAATTCAGCTCCAGCAAGGAACCACCAAACAAAGCAACTTAGGCCCCTAGACGAGCACAACGTCCGCCTGCTGGACGCGGTGCACCCGCGCAGTTGGCCAGCACCTGCTGCAGAGGCCTCGTTTCGGGTACAAAGACCTTCAGGCGGTTGCTGTGTTTATGGAGTTCTCTGCACCTACAGTGCTGACGGGACAACTTCAATTGTAAGTACTTCCTTTATCCGAGATCCCAGACAAAGGGGGGGACTTGGGGCCCTTGGAAGGTCCGCTCCGGGCTTGGCTTGCTAAATCCTTTGTCATAAACCGCTTTTGCCCCCTCAGGCCAGGTCGACGGTGCACGCCAATTCGTTGAACATGCGCAGTGTAAGAGCGAAATGTTTGCGACCATTTCCCTCTAACACCAACAGTAGCAAAAATGTGGCTGTGTCGCACGTGACACCTCAAAGCATGAGTCATCATGGTTTCCCAACCCTAAACCCTAAACCCTAAACCCTAAACCCTAAACCCTAAACCCTAAACCCTTTCCTTTGAAGTCCCTGAGGGTGTCATCTACGACCTCGTAGCGGTGGGCGCCGGGGCCGGTGGTCCCTTGGTGCAAAGCGGGTTTAGGGTTTAGGGTTTAGGCTTTAGGGTTCGAGGTCTTGTGATTCTTGGGGGTTTTCTGAGGGTCTCGGTTTGAGGATCTAGCATGTTTAGGGTTAAGGATTTCTTGCTTGTTGTAGAGCAGGGTGTAACGCTCTGGCTTAGGTTCACCTTTTAAGGCCCCACTTAGAGCAATGGTGACTACGCTTTCAAGCAGACCGTAAGTTGGTGCGTAGAAGCTCGAACCCGAAAGCCGTGAGAACGCAGGTCATCGACGAATCGTGGGGTCTGGGGCGGAAAGATACTTGCAGAGGCCCTCATTGACTCATTAGTAAAACCTCCTAATATAACAAGCGAGATGCTAGACCATACCCTAAGTCATTAAAGCCCAGTATGTTCCGTAACACCGGAGAAAGGCAAGTAATAGCAGAAACAGAGTTTCATTAAAACCCCATACTAAACCCTAAACCCTAAACCCTAAACCCTAAACCCTAAACCCTATAACCCTAAACCGTCCTATCCAACCGCTCGAGGCCTAGTCTCGGCGAAGCAGTCCGCACGCCGTGGTGCCCGGAGTGCCCTCATCGAGCAGCACCTGGCCGGCGGGGACTGCTTCTGGGCGCGTTCATCTGGGCTCTTGCTGAGGAATTCTTAATCTAAGGACTTTAGGAGGGACCCCTAATAGGGACCCTTAATCCCATTACCTTGAATAACCATTGTATAGGCCTTGTATACCCCTTATATAGCCAGGTAGTCTTCATATTAACCCCAATAACCTACAAGGGTCCCTATTACGGGTCCCTCCTAAAGCCCTTAGACTTAAGGAGTTCTTTAAAGTTGCTCTAGTTTAAGTTACTTATGTAGGGACCTATAGTAAATAATTGATAATGGGGTTTCCTTAGCATGGTGAGGAATACTTTGAAGTTGCTATGGTTTAAGTTACTTATGTAGGGACCTATAGTAAGTAATGGGGTTTCCTTAGCATGGTAACTTAAATTAAGTCCCTTAGCAAGAATCCTGTAATGGTCTCTGAGGGTTTACAGCGGTTTCACAAAGGTGTTCAATGGTTTGAACAAAGGATTACTATGAGCGTTTTGTAAGTGCTTCTGAGCTCTGCAGGCGTCTTGCTGTAGGGTTCTTGAGGCTTCTTACAATGGGGTTCTGATGTGTTTGACAGGTTTTCTGGGTTTGCTCTGCCCTTTAAAGGCCTAAGGTTTGGGAGGGTTGGGGGTTTAGACTTACTGCGGGCGGAGAGGCTTAAGCGTCTGAACATGGGCCTGGTCCTGAGCAGCAGACCCAGCTTCGGTTTTGGGTTGCCTTTGCAAGCGGTCAGACCCTAGCATTGAAGGGTTCTCAGTATTTCAGTATTTCAGTCCCCCCTACATAGGCTTTCCTTCGTGGATTTGATACTTCAGCCGTGCACCGACAACCTACCCTAGAGACACCCCAGCTAGCCTTGTAAGCATTACAAAACCCACATGCACTCCCTAGCTGGTCAACAGATACCCTCAGCCGAGACACCCCAGAGGCACCCAACAACACTTTAAAAAGGCTCAGAACTAAAAACCGAAAGCCTAGACTCCTATAGTTCTCAAGGTTGACTTTATATCGTACATGCACTACTCTGAATCACAGTCCTTTGTAAGGATGTCCTGGAACCCACATTATCGACCCGTTTCAGGTTGTAGCCCTATTCTTTCCCTTAACACGACAACTCCTAAAAACCTCACGGTTTAGGTGTCAGGGGTTTGAGTTTAGGGTTTAGAGTTTAGGGCTGTAGGCTGAGACTTTAGGCCCTAAACTCGCCCTAAACTCTAAACCCTAAACTTTAGGGTTTAGGGTTCTAAGGATAGCTCGTAAGACTCACCCCGAACCCTAAAACCCTAAACCCCAAACCCTAAACCCTAAAAACCCTAAACCCTAAACCCTAAACCCAGTATAGCTCGTAAGACTCTAAACCCTAAACCCTAAACCGTCTCAGGTTTGAACGTGGGCTGCGTGCCCTCCAAGGCTCTGCTGCGCTGTGCGCGGGCCGTGGCCGAAGCTCGCAGGACCGAGCCCTAAAAACCCTACATTCTAAACCTTAAAGTCCTAAATCCTAAGCCCTAAAAACCTAAACTGTAAACTCTAAAGTCCCAAATCCTAAGCCCTAAAAACCCTAAATTGTAAACCTTAAAGTCCTAAATCCTAAGCCCTAAAAACCCTAAATTGTAAACCTTAAAGTCCTAAATCCTAAGCCCTAAAACCCTAAATTGTAAACCCTAAAGTCCAAAATCCTAAGCCCTAAAACCCTAAACTTTATACCCTAGAATCCTAAATCCTAAACCCTAAAACCCTAAACTCTGAAACCCTAAATCCTAAACCCCGAAACCCTGAACCCTAAAACCGTAAACCATAAAACCCTAAACTCTTGAACCCTAAACTCCTTCAGCCCTAAAACCCCTGAAGCCCTAAACCCCCAGCCCCTAAGCCCTAAAACCCTGTCCTTTATCTAGGTGTCCTTCTAATGGAGTTCTTGCTACTTAGGTTCTGTGTTTTGGGGCCCCCTTCTTTCGTGAGAGAAACCCCAACTGGGAGCTCGAACCCGGAACTTCCAGTTTTCTGAAGCAATCTCGCATTAGCTACAACAGCTCATAAGGTTTCATGAAGGGTGTGTAAAGGCCTATATGCAAAACAGGCTCGTATTGTGGAGTGTTGGGCTCTTTGGGATCCCACCTTTGAGATGTAAAGGGCTGCTGCAGGACGGATTTGGGCTTCCTGAGCGAGTCGCAGGAGCCCGGGTTTTGGGGGATGGCATTGGGGATGCGGGTTTTAGAGGGCAGGGCTCTTAAGGCTTAGACAGGAAGGGGCAGAGTGCAGCCGTCGGGGTTGACGGTTTTAGGCTTGGGTCTTGAAGTTTACAATGACTGAGGGGCTGAGTTGGTAGCCTTTAACCTTCTGGGGCTTATAGAGCCCTACTATAATTCAAAAGGTTAAACTTTTTTGAGCTGGGGTACTCCTAAACCCTAAACCCTAAACCCTAAACCCTAAACCCTAAACCCTAATTAATGAGGTTGGGTTTAGCTTTCCGGCTGTTATTTTGAGGCTCGGGGCTCCGAGCTAGCAGGACTTAGCATTCACATGACACGACAGCCTTGCTTTCCTTAAGGGTCTAGGGTTTAGGGTTTAGGGTTTAGGGTCCATGTCTCCGTATGAGTATACTTCGCCCCTACAGTACCT